TAGTTGGTTTAGGGAGAAATGGAGTTGGAGGGAGGGGGGCTCCTGGGAGGGTATTTTTGAAGGGGGTTCCATAGTGTTTTAAGTGAGAAGGATAGAGTGGAATTAGAGGTTGGTATAAGTGGGTTGAGGTGGAAGAGGCAGTTTTCGGGATTGAGTACGGGAAAACACCGGGAATAGACGGTATACCAAATGATTTTTACAGAGCACATTGGGGGTGTATTAGGCAGTGTTTTGTTAGGGTATTGGATCATATGTTAACTAGTGGGAAGTTGGGCACATCGCAAAGTACGGGTGTTATAGTTTTGGTGCCAAAGCTGAGGGGGGAAGAGAGTTGAGTGCTTACCGAGCAATATCTCTGATGTGCGCAGATTACAAGATTTTTGCAAAAATTTTGGGTAACAGATTGAAGAAGGTCATGGGGTCGGTGATACATGGGGGACAGTTTGGTATCCCTGGGAGGAGTATGCGGGTAGGTCATGGACGTATTCGGGATTTCCTTGAGGGTAGTAGTAAGGGAGGTATTCTAGGTCTGGATTGGGAGAAAGCTTATGATTATGTGGATAGGGAATTTTGATTGAGAGTATGGTGAGAATGGGTTTTGGAGGAGGTGGTTAGATGGGTGAGGACATTGTATGCGGATGCATCAATGAGAGTACAGGTAAATGGAAGGTTGGGTAGTCCTGTAAGCATGGGAGGGGTTTAAGGCAGGGGTGTCCACTCTCCCAAATTCTCTTTGCATGCATGCAAAATCCTTTCTATGTTCTGGTTGATGGTGGGATGGGAAGAATGGGGGAGAGTGGAGGCTTTTGTGGGAATATTGTTGGTTATGTAGATGATACAACTGTTTTACTTAATGAGATAGAAGACTTAAGTAAAGTGGGAAGGGTAATTGAGATTTTTGGGAATGCTACTGGGATGAGAGTTAATAAACAGAAATCACGGTTGCTGGAGGTAGGAGCTTGGGTAGGCGGGACATTGGGGGAGGAGTTTGGCTGGATAACTGTAGAAAGGCTAAAGATTTGTTGGATTTTGTATTTGGCAGATGTACAGGAGACCAGAAGGGTTAATTCAGAAATGGTAATGGACAGAGCTTTGAGTAGGCTCCGGAGTTTAAGGGCCGGGGATGTAACCTTGCATCAAAGGGTTGTGGTGGTAAATAGCTGATTTTATAGTAAGGTGTGGGGAGTGGAGGAAATTTATCCCTACGAAGTCAGGAAATTATGGAATTACAAAGAAGAGTCTTAAGGTATGTGTGGGGTTTTGGGAGGGCGTGGTTGGGCAAAGATGTGGTAATGACTGCGGTAAGACAGGGAGGATTGGGATTGATGGCATTAGGATCTAGGGTGAAGGCACTGTATGTGAAGCAGAGGTATATTCGGCAGGGGGGAAAGGGGTCTTCGGGTGGGGGAGGTGATGGGGATATCCGCAAATGGTGGGGTGGCAAGGACTTAGTCGAGTGTGAGGATATGTTGAGGTTTATGTTAAAGGTACAAAATGTTAAAAAACTCAAGGTAAAACGGTTGGTGGGTGTGGGTCGTCGTAAGGAATCAATGCAAGGGATGGCAGTGTATCCCACATATGATTGGAGAGTGATATGGGTGGAATTTAGTAAATTAAGAATACAGGCAAGAGCGAGGGAATTAGTATATAGATTTCTTATGGGGACGTCAGCATCGAAAGAGGTGCTAAGACAAATGGGTTTTGTGAGAGAGGCGTCATGCGGTTTTTGTGGGGAAGTTGAAACGGCTTTCCATGTGGTATATTTTTGTTCTGAATTGGAGGTGGTAAGGTTGTGGTTGAAGAGGGTTTTCTTGTTATTGGGGGGGGACAGATATCACTCCTTAGGGCTTTAATGTTAGATATAGGAGGGGTGCCCAAAGAGGTGGGAAGGGCCATTAGATACGTAATAGTTGATTACTTGTATATTTCTTGGGGGATGAGGGGAGTGGAGGGAAACATTAGGATAAAGGCGTTAACGGCGTGTTTTTATAGGACAGCGTGTAGGAATAAACTATTATATGGGGGAAGGTGGGTAACTAGTTTTCCGGAGGGATATCGTGAACTAACTGTTGAACGTCTACTCCGTTTGGCGACGGGGTGAGGGCAAGGGGTTGGTCTCTTCAGTGGTGTGTCCTCTTGGAGTGATTGGAAGCCTGATGAGGAAGGTAGATTGGTTGGCAAGGTGGTTGATGTGGGTAAAGTTTATTTGCAGGGAGCCGTCGGGGGCACCGGGTATTAGACCTTATGATTTTGTAAAATCACAGAGTCAACAGTTGTATGTGACCTTCTGTTTTCCTTTTTTGTTATCAGAACCATTTTGCATAGGGGGTTTATATTTATATGTATATGTGAGGATATGTTTTATACTTTTGAATATGTTGATCGAGTTATCCTTGTCATACGTATCTTTTTATATCATATTGAAGGTGTACATTATGAACTATGTACGAAAATATATAAGTATTTTTCTGGGGTTTATATATACCCTTCTTTTTGTATG